AAAGCTGCATGTAGCACCATATATCAGGTTGTCAACAACCTTCACAACACTGATCTTTTCAGGAGGGAGCAGACACACCAGACATGCCTACTAAAACACCTCTATGATCTTCACACATGCATGTAGCAGTGTGCTTATATACATTCATAGTTTTCTCTAAGTGGTTTTTGCAAGAGCTGTAAAAATAGCTCCCCACCCCAGTTGTGTGTCAGAAATAATAAATAAGGGCGTAACAAGACTCAGAGGACGTTGAAAAGCCTTCTGCTGCATCATTAAAGACCTTTTAAAAAATGTCATCTCATCAGGACAGACGAAGATGTGTAACCTGATGTGACTCTTAAATCCAGCTCCAAGACATTGATAAATGCTTCAAAACCGTACGTCAGCCTTTCAGTTGAAATCATTTCAACCACAATCATCAGATTTCGTGCAACAAGCCAACAATAGTTACTATGTGGTTAGAAAAATAACTGCTGCACAAAGAAACGCCAGTGCTTTAAAATCTTTGCTTTAATCTGAAATAGATTTTTGGTGCAGGGTTTTTGTCCGTCTTAGAGGAACAGAAATCCCAGGGATGAAACCAGAAATTATCTCTACAACCAGCATGTAATCAATGCACCAAACAAAATAACTAAACTTTTTTATGAGAGTTTGACAAAGAGCTAAAATGGCATCTCTAAAAAAAGAAGTGAAACAGTTTGAGAAGTTTCCTGCTAACTTGATTACTGCATAATAGCTTTTATGATTAGCTTGAGAATAGCAACAACTACTTTGTTGTGTCAGTTTTTAAGACCGTTTTGAACTCGGTATATTCTCAAATGGTGTGCCAAAGACAATGAAACAGAAATGAACCATAAAGCAAAATAAAACCTTTAACATTCCAATGGTCTTGCAGTTTGGTTTTCTCATATTAGGGTGTATTCACACCAAGCAAATGTGATCTGCTTTGAATAAACCAGAGTTTGTTTCCCATGTTGTACAAGTGTAAATACACCAAAACAAACGTTGGTGCAAACAACACAATCAGACTACCACCTCAAAAGGTGGGACCCAGTTTTGCTAGCGCTACTACTGCAAGGGTGCTACAAAAAATGAGCCGCAGGCACACTGTGCTACCTCCATATCTGTGCAGGTGCATACATAATCCAACTGCTAGAAAAGATGCACTAAAATGTGGTTATATTTAGCGAGAAATGTTTGTTTCTGTTCTTTCTGGATGGGCGCTCTGTCCAGCTCCCAGTTTTCCTGTCCAATGGGAGCAAAGATCGTCACCCACATGGCGTTGTTTATGAAGTGCAGTTCACTTGCAAACTGTACAGTGGGAAAGCAAAGCACACCAAACAACAACAAGAAATGTCTGCTTTTGGTCTGGAGCAAAGGACTTTCCTGATGTGAATACACTCTAAACGCTGAATTGGCCTTGTTCTCTGATTCAATAGTATTAAAGCAAAGTCATAATCTCTGGCTCTATAATTTCTTCCAATCTTCTTGACTTTAAAGTTACATCATGACACTGTTAGGAATGAAGTGATATCTGATTGTGCTCTGAATTGTGATGCTTAAATCCAAAGTGTTGTTTAGTCTTAGCTGTAATATTAGACAATTGTTCACTCGAGTGTAGAAAATCTACAGTTAATTGTTAGTTTGGTGATCGTGATGCTACTGGCTCTTCACATTTTTAAGCAGGATTTTAAGGATTAAAATTGTCTCAAACTTTCTCCACTCGGCGCACAACAGTGATTCTGCTAAAAGTATGCTTTCAAACAATTTTCCTGCTGTCAGATCATTACACCACATCCAGACATAGAAAACAATTACACCAAGTGTTTTGTGCGAGCAGTACTCCTCTGATGTATCTTCAGAGAGGAAAAAGAGGGGGAGGGGGGCAAAAAAAGACAGGATGGAGAAAAAGATGATGAGCATTAGGCTGAAATGAAGGCACACATGAAAGAGTCAAAGAAAAAACAAAAAGTCGTGCACCGGGGCAGCAAATGATCGTAACAGTGCGGGTTCAGAACATAATTATTTGAGGTTAAACATTTTACCTTGCTGTGCAGAGCTCTCGGTTGCTGAAATGAGTGGAGCTGAGGTAATGAAAACAGTGATGGGGCCCCCTTTGTTCGGCAGTTTCTATCTCGCAGTATTGTTACGCTGATGTCGAACACCCAAGATGAGCTCGAAGCAGCACTGAGACGAGACAAAAAGCAGATCTGATCAACTGGTTTAAATTGGATTAGTTTGTGTCAGGTAAGAAAGTTAAATGGGATAACAGCAGCAATGGCATATTATTAGATGTCTCGTTTGTGGTTGCATTTTGGTGATGGAAAAAACTGCCTAAAGACAAGATATTTCAGTTATATATGCAATCAAAATAATCAGAAAACATGCTGGTACCTTTCAGAGTCGGCTCTCTTCCTGTGTTTGGAGTTAATCCAATTCAATCCAATGGATGAATAGGGAAATACCTTCAGCTCAATCTTAAGTTAGGAATCCTTGAGCAGAAGGCTGATGTTATAGTCCATTTATAAACTCATATACTGTTATGGTGGAGACGCGTAATCTTGGATTTTGCCAAGTGTGACATGGAAGTGCTGGTCCAGTCTGTGATGTGGAAAGAAGGCGCTGATGAAAACGCTCCGTTTACTCGAACTACAATTCAAACTGCACTAATGGATACGGCCAAAATGAGTTTCTGTGTCGTGTTTGGTGGTGTGAAAGCCAACGTGCAGAAATAGACTGAGAAATGGAGAACTGAAAACAAACCTAATGATGCAGCAACCGAGTTTCCTTTGAAGAGGCACCAGCAATTAGAACAACTGGACTCAGGTGTGAACTAGCAGGAAGGAAAACCATTTGCTACCGAATTTTCCAGACTATAAACCGCACCTACAAATAAAAAAAACAACAAAAAAACAAAAATCCTGGAAACGTACATATATAAGCCGCACTGGGCTATAAGCCGCTGGTATCTCCACCGCAGCCCTCCGTCTAAAAAGCTGAACCATGGTTTCGTTCATGACAAGTTTACATGCAGCGGCTCCATTTCCCTCCTGTAGTGCCAGATCGACAGCCTTCAACTTAAAACCTGCATCATTTGAGTTTGAAGAAATTTCTCCATCGTGCCTGCTGTTAGCATACACTTGTTCTAAATGAAAATTAGCGTTTTCTTCTTTGATTTCCAATGATTCACTTCCTGCTAAAGCACACCCTGGTGGTTGAAGAAAAATCCACAGAAAGCCGCACTGGGCTATAAGCTGCATGGTTCAAAGAGTAGGAAAAGTTTATTGTCCGAAAATAGGGTATTTAAAAAAAAAATTGGTTACACAAACTAAAACAGGAAGCCGCTGCTTTACTTTAACAACTCTTAGAAATACAGCCGTCAACATTTCTATTAAATCAAATTTATTATATCTATTTAACTTACAAACAGACTAGAACACACATGCTCCATTTAAGAATAGAGTAGATGAATAGATTAAGTTTTAATTATGTAAGGAGAAAACAAATGGAGGCATTTTCTTTTTCCAAACTGAGTTGGTCCAAACTATTCTCTGCATTAAGTTGATCATGCATGATGTGTCCTTTATTGTTACTAAATGATATTTAGTGACATTGAAAGAGACGGCTCCCTAAAATACAATATAGGAAGCAGATGATCAGGTTAAATTTCTATTTTTTTCTCCAGTTTAGTGGCATATCCAGCACTCAACATTGACCAAAGGTTTGTTGAAAGGTGAGAGGAAATAAAGCATCACCTTAAGTTTAAATACAACTCAAAGTTACATGTGTAGAGGTACACAAGTAATCACTTGGTGTAGGTGTAGAGCTCTGTCATGAACATAAATGAAGTCTCATAATTTAATTCAATAAAAAAAATACTTTAGTAAACCCAAACCAGGTTGGTTGAGGATGCTTTGGAGATTGGAAAAGAAAACCCTGAACATTTGGGACCGATGGGGAACATTTAGGATCAATCAAAGGAAATTCTAAAATTCGGATGGTTGCACGCTTCACTTGCTTCCTAGATAGTAAAAGATATGAGTGAATAACACTAAATTATTTCATGCAATTCATGTTTATTCCTATACGCATACCAGCTGCACAGTACTTAACAGTTGCTCCACCTTTAATGATGGATGTTGAATTTTAACCACCTCTGTATGCTTCTCAGACTGGAATAACCGATACGGCGCTCTGAGCTTCAGGCCTCCGGCCTGATACGGCTCCAGCTTGTCTACGTGCTGCAATGTTACCCAGCATTCTTCACTTGATACCCATCTAAATACTTTCACATACTTCAAAACGCTGGCATCCCCTCCTGTTTAAACAAAGGTAATTGTGCGTGATTTGAGCATTAGCCAGTGTCATCAGTCATAGAGGGAGAGTAAATGCTTCATCCGAGCAGGTGCTGTTTGGCAGCACCGGCCCTGCAGTGTTTTATGGATTGTTTAGCTGGCTAAGCCAACTCCGAGTTGTAAAGGCACAGTGGGTAAGGCCTCGCTACTTGCGTACAATCCATCATAGATTGCTTCTGTAATGACTTTAAAGCAGTGGTCCACAATGCTGGAAGGCAAACTCTGCATGTAGTTTGTAAAACTGTCAAAGCACAGATGGTTTTAGTATGTACATTTACAAGAACGATGGCGGAGGCATTTCTACGCACAAACAGCGTGCCCTGCAAAAGTATTCACATTTTTCCATATTTTTTTATGTTAAAAAGGTAAATGTCAAAGGATTTCATTGGGATTTTATGTGATAGATCGATGAGATGTAAAGTGCAAGGAAGATGATGTACCATTTTTAAAATCTTTTACAATAATACAAATCGACAAATTTGTATTCAAACCCATTTTACCAAATCAGAGACTTGAAAACTGATGTTTAAAGACCATCTCCTGGACTGGAATGTGAGCGAAACTGGCAAACATTTCAGTGTCTCGATGTGCAAAGTACGTGGAAACCTTCTCCATAAAACTCACTCGTCAAGTGAAAAGATTTTGTAAACTTTGTACAGTTTATTATTTATACCCCTGGCAGATTTGGGTTTAAGATAGTCCTAACTTTAATTTGACAGAGAATCTGTGAAGGAGGTGACAGAAAAAAGCAAAGTCTTCCAATCTCAAAGACTTAGAGTTCATCACTAAACATGAATAATGAGAATAACAGTAAAACCATGTAAAAAGCTCATCAGCAGTTAAATGTCTATAAAAAAAGATTTGATTGGTTTAACGTCAGTAAAGGTTTTCCAGTGATTATTGAGAAGGGTATAAATAATTTTTCAACATGCCATTTACAATAAAACCTAAAAAATTAACGCTTTCACATTTTCCTGTCTTTCTCGAAAGATGCCTTTTTCCATTTCCAATCAGAGATAAACTCGGCTGAATGAAAATATTAAATCTAAATCTGTCAGAGGTATGAAATTCTTTCTTTCACCTCCCCAACTACTCATTGATATGAGTTGGTGTATCCCAATAAAATTCCAATAGAATGCATTAAAGTTTGCTGTTGTAACGTGACAAGATGTAAAAATGTTTAAGAGGTCTGAATACTTTTGCCAAACAATGAATTATGAAACCGGCTTTCAGTTTTGCAGAACATTTGCATTGCACTTGCACAGAAATCTGTTTTTTTATGTGTTTGTGCAGTCATAACAGACCATACCGCTCTGTGCCTGTACTTATAACTGTATGCTAACAGTGTTACAGAGAGTCCATGCTCTGCAGACGATATGCAGACTTTATGCACCCTTTTCACTTTTAAAAAACACCCATTATTTTCTGATTCTGCTCGACTTCTGGCTTTTATAAAGCAAGTAGAGAAAAATCTAACTCAGGAGCCTCTCCAAAAGGCTTCCAATCCAATTTCGGGGACTAGGTGTACCCCTTATCCTAATCAATCTCCAGGCAATCAGCAGCTCTTTGTCAGCAAAGGAGGAGAGGAGAAGGTAAGGAAGGGTGGTGAATAAAGAATCAAGACCAGCACAAGGCAGGCGAGAAAAACCCGGAATGATGTGAATAACAGGACATCAGGAAAGGTTAAAAAATACAGGTTGAAAGAGGAGGAGAGACGGTGGAAGTGCAAAGGTACAAGGACCAAAAAGGAATGTTAAAAACAGTGGAAAATGTGAAGGTGAGAGGTGGCGAGTTTGGTGCCTCATTAGATAAAAACACTTAGGAGTCAGAGTCAGGAAGCAGATGCTGGGGCTTCAGTGGTGTTTTGAACAGAGAATCACTCATCAAACGATAAAGTCTGTGTGACCTTTTCGGCAGCCTCCCCAGAGAGATGAATGGAAAGACAAAGGTACCGACATAACAGATTCTCTAAACGGGCTTCTTATCCTCTCTGGCCTCCTTGGGGCTGTGCTGTTGGCCCTCAGATGGGAGAAACAGTGCAGCGTCGCCTTCCATCTTAAACACGATGTCTGCTGGAAAATGGGGAAAACACGCATCCATCACACGGCGGCAGAAACGTTCACCTGGATATCATTCAGAAAACCTGATTAATAACTGGCTTAATCTGCTCCACACAAAGATGAAGGAGGGTGTTAATGGACATGTAATAATTTAGGTTTCTGTACCCCTACTGCACAAGACCAAAGAAAAAGAAGCTGTTAAGATTCATTGGAGTTCAATCAAACAAACCTCAGCATGAGACATCCAAAGTACTCAGCACTTTCAATCTCCAATGGACATTAGAAGCCAAGAGAAACTTACACTTCCTAAGAATACAGCATGGCCCGTTTTTCTTTCTTTTTTTTTCTTCCAAGCAGCCTGAGGTTGTTATTTTTTTAAACTGGTCTGGATCTGTTGTCCACTATGCTTTCCAACCGTCTTTCAAATGTTTTCTTTGGACCAGGACTGCATTTTGACACGTTTTGAGTTTGTGGAGTGGCAGGTTTCTTTTCACTGTCGTCAAAGAATTCATTAACTGCAGTCATCAGTTCCCCTTATTTTGCCACTGCAATGTAATGCTTCTTGCTTGTTTAGTGTTTTTCCTCATGCAAAGCACTTTGATTGCCTTGTTGCTGAAATACAGATAAACTTCCCTCGCCCTGCTGCAAAGTCAAAGGGTCGACGCAGTTGGCTGAGCGTCTGCTGATAAAAGTTTCATGCATTAGAAGACATGTGACCAACTGAATTTAACTGCATTGTCGAATTGAGAATAACTGATTCAAACTTTGAGATTTGATTGTGTTGGCTTCCAACAGTCACATTGGATTCTGCATAGCAGGAAACTAATATGACTTTTGTGGCGACTTGGGCTTACAAAAGTGACTTGATCCTCCAACTACTTCCTGTCATCTTCTTCTTCATGGTTTGTGCCAGAAGCAACATGCTGTTGTTGATCATGTAACTCGTGTGATGCAAAAAAGTGTTTCAGTTGCAGTTTTACAAAGTAAACCAATTTGTAAAACAGCCAAAAAAACCCACCTCATCCTAGTGACAAAACTTATCAAAAACTAGATTTTTAAAATTTATTTCCGCGTTCCCGTTGAGCAAATTTATTTTCGAAACGTCACATCTTGCAAGTATGTGGTCAACGAAATAGCTGCATTTCAAATGCAGGCAGATTCTAAATGCAGGTGGCAAACAAGACAACTCTTGAAGATCAAATAAGTAATAAGCCAAAAAAAGGTAAACAACCAAAGCGCCACGGCGTTGGAAACCTCTGCAGCAGAATACACGCATCGTTTCTGCAACCAGCTTTCCTCTCACACCAGCTTGTGCTTTACATACATGAACGTGACAGTGTGTACTGACCTTTGGGATCTTGAAGTGAATGGATGAAGACAGAGTGATTGAGGTGCAGCCCCGCTCCAAGCGAAAGAAATGTTTTGCATGATTGCGACCACTCAGTCTGACGTGGGAAAGAAATCTGTTTACCCAGGAGCTATAATGTGACTTTTGTTCTCCATTTACATTTCCTGCCGCAGCCCTCCCTGTGCAGCCGTCGCAGCTCTGAGATCATTGTGAGCAGATCTGGAAGGTGTTTAAAAAGAAAGGGGGGGGGAATGTTTTTATTCTGCTGGCCTGCTTCTAAAGTTCAGTAATTTCACATCCCTGAAATGCATTTGATTGCTAGAGTATCGACTGAAAGCGATATTGCAAAATGACAATTTGCAAGGGAGGTTGTAGGAATGAAAAGGATTTCTGTCAGGATTATCCAATCTTTGTCTGATTATCCAGGAAACACGAGGCCGTGTCAGGTAGAGGGGAGGTATGCAAGTCTGTTTACTACCAGCTCAGAGCGTGAGCGTACGTGGCGTCCCCTTAAAAAGCAACTGCGCTTTGTACACTGACTGAAACAATTAGCATGAGAATTGAACCATCACAACGCACCAGCACGGCGTTTGATTGCCCCCCGGGTGCCCGCTCGATTCAGCCAATCCGTCGGCGTCTCCCGGCTTTCTCTAACAACAACAAACATTTCTTTGGCTGCGACATTAAAAGAACAAGTCCAAATCCTGGATGTGTTTGTTGTTCCACTTGAAGAAGATCAGCGGTTGGCTGTCAAAATGATATTCTGTCAGCGAGCGAAGCGCCATAACCTTTATTGTGAGGCACTTTCTTCTTCAAGAGGAAACGCTTTGCACAAATGACAGGGTAATTTCCAGGCAGCTTTGGTGAAACTGATTAAAAGTGCTGCTGTTAAGAAAGATTGTTGCTAAGACGTCTTGTTGCTAAAGAGCCAAGAGAGAGGAGGAAAACTATTTGGAGATTGGAAACACAATGGAATAATGAAGGCTTAGAGTTTGACTGAAAACAATTTGTTTCAAACTCTGATCCCAAGCAACTTTTTTTTCACATTAATGTACAAAAACTCTTGATGACCTAGAGAATTAAACAGTTGTTTGGCTGCTCAGCAAAGTTTAGGCAACACCTTTCACCTGTATTGAGAGCTACAAACAGTTTCATACCTCGTTTTGTCGCAGTAAAACTGTAAACGTCAGCGAGAGACCAACACAAAGTTGTGAATAAATCTGAAGTTGGAGGAAAATGACAGATGAGTTAACATCAAGGCAGGTGGACTGATCCTGACAGAGTGAGGAAGAGCGAACCCAAAGGGTTCGGTCTGTGTGGATGGCAGGAGAGCAGGGGGACTGATGAAGGTTTGCTGATGGTGTCCAAAGTCATCAGAGAATTATTTAAACTACAAGCACAAAGAGCCAAAAACTAAAACAAAGAATCAAGAGAAACACTTCAAAGTTTCAAGGAACAGCACAAGAAGGTCAAACGGCTTCGTACAACCAGTGAGGTTAACGGTGGAATAAAGAGTAGTCATCCTGCAGCTCCTTAAAAAGCCCCAGCACACTGATGAAGAGATTGCAGACAGGTGTGCAGTGTGCAGCAGGTAGCCCAAGCCATCCAGCAGAGATCCTCTATTAAAACACACTCGCACACACACACGAACACACTCAAGCACCAGGATCAAGACCGCGTGTGTTGAGCCTTGAGTGAAAACTCAACTGTGCTGGACAAAGAGTCACAAACACTCGGTTGTGGAACTGTTCCTCAACAAAGACTAAAGGATATTCACTCCGTCTCTGGGCAGATTTGAGAGTTAGACAAGAAAGATTTCAAACAGAAATAGAAGCAGAGAGTGATACAAAATGAGAGAAGAACAAGGGATAGAGCAAAATGGAGAGAAGGCTTTGAAAGAGAGAAAGGTAGGACAGCCTGAGGTTTCAGTATTTGCGTTTCTTTTGTTATTGTTACCAGCAACTTGAAACTTTCCTTTTATTTTTGGGATTGTTTGGTCCCGACTCCAACTAAGAGCTTAATAGAGATGCAGAATTCACATCAGCTTCGTCCGGACATGAATTCTGGACAGTGAAAGCCCTCACAACCACACCTGCTGAGATCTGACTCCATGGATTAAGATCAATCTGTGATCCACAAGAGGAGCTGGAGCTGATTCACCTGGAGTCTCTGAGATTCACCTGGAGTCTCTGAGATTCACCTGGAGTCTCTGAGATTCACCTGGAGTCTCCAGAGACCTTGAGGACGAAATTTATTCAGCTGCTTTGACCAGCAGCTAAATTGAGATCCAGGGTGTGAGGTGGTGGTACAGGCAGTCTCCACCTTTCATTAAGAATTTTGGACCTTTAGCGCAAACATAATATTGCCATGCTTATAAATATTTGTAAATATGGAATGGATGATGCATAATGAGTATAATTTTTCATATCAGTGAGCTAGTGAGAAACGTTATAACTAATTTCACAAATTTCTATTTACAGTCAGATAATGGAGCCATAATTTGACAGTGGCTGACATGTACAAAGACGCAGCAAATGGTGAAATGCGCTGAAAAAACACACGAATGATGTCAACTCCAAAACACATACACACACACAAATGCAACAGAAAAATTATGCAAAAAAGGGCTGCAAACACAGACAATAGGGGCAAAGGGAAAATTTTCACAAATACTGCAAACAACAGCAAGTATGAAGAGCTGAAAACCTGCTCCACCAAACAAAAGTCCTCCAGACCACTAGAGGAAGTCAACCACCAAATCATTTGTGACCAGACACTCAGTAAAGATGGGATGTCATGATCTAACGGGATGTCTCAAAGAAAGCTGAAGAAAGAAAGAAAAGGTGCGAGCAGCATCATATTCATATAGATAATATCTACTCTTGACTGAGCCTAGTGGTCTGGAGCATTTCCATTTTGAGGAGCGAGTTTGCAGCATTTTGTACTTCTTGATGTTGCCATTTGCAGTATTTTCCCTTTTGCTTCTATTTCCTGTGGTTGCAGCATTTTCTGTTCCATTTGTGTTTGTGAGTTTTGGAGTTTGCGCCATGTTTGCTGTGCATTTGCATCCGTCAACCACCTTATAATCTAGCCTTACTGTACATGTTCTGCATAAGAAGCAAAAACACCACAAATCAGTTCAGCCCTTTTGTCACTTTGAGGTTCGGCCATCTGGGGTGTAAAACATCATGTTTGATCAACATCAAGTCCTCGGTGCCAAATCACGGCTCCGGTTCTACCAAATAGAAGAAAAACTCTGTAAATATGTTTAAAATAAGTAAATCTAACTCAACGGTAGGTTGCTGTAGAACGTATTTGCAGTATGGAAGACCACTGGCCATGTACCTGCGTCAGACTGTGCTGTCGGCAGCTGTCCCTGATGCTCATTTTCCCCAGCAGGGTTTGGGTTCAGCCGAGAGGTCAAGCAAACATTGTCATTTTGCTCAGCCCTGGGTGGGTTGGCCCTGCACCTCACCAACCTGCAGCACTGCATCAAACATCTCCTCTGTGATTACCGCCTCTGACACATGGACATAGCTGGCCAGCTGCTGCGCCACCTGTCAGAGTAAAGACCTGAAGCGGAGGAGAAATTAATGGGAGCGAGCACGAGGATGAAAGTTGGGCGGGCTTGAAGACATAAAGGACAGGGAATGAGACCAGAATAGGAAATGTTGGACACATGGATGAGAGAGTGGGGGGTGCGGGGGGTGAGGATAATGGAAATGTGTGGAGATAATGAAAAAGAGAAAATTGAAGGACGCAGAAAGGGGACAGAGTGGGGAAAAAAAAAAGACAAAGAGCGGGACTGAGTTCAAGATGCAGAATTCCAAAAAGCAGAGACTTCATGAAAGACATAATTAAATTGTGGCATTCATTGATTCTCTTTTGTAATGTCAGAAAACTGAAAGCGACTGCAGCCATAAAACGACAGACATTTGTATTAATTCCTGCGGGCCTCTTTATACGGAGCGCGGTTGGTATTCAGGGACATCATTACCAAAACCTACAAAAGCTCTTATCAGCTGCAGAGGGCTGCCTGTGTGTCTGAGGTGTGTGTTTGTTTCACACGACTCGCCTCCTATCTCTGTTTCACATCTTTTGCCATCTGAGTGGAATGGGCAGTCCAGCTCCTCTACTGTGTTTTTTGACATTTCCATTAGTCAGGATGAAAGCCGAACAGGAATCAGACTCACTGGACAAGCCTTCATACAGAGCAGGAACAAAGGCGCCGGAGCACCTTTCTCCGTTTGTGCAGAACTTCATAAAAATATGGCCATAAAAATATTTTCTGCTGCTATTCAAAACAGCTAGCAGCTACTCACAGGGATTAATGCTCCCCTCCTGGGGTTTTTCAGTGTCAGGGCTTTCATTATAAGGCTCAATGGGGCACGAGTCTTTCATTAAAGGCTCAAGATCATGTCTCACTGGGGTTCGGTCACGTTTGTGCCTGCAGCTATTTCTGTATGTAAGCACACTTTAGATTTTAATATTTTTTTTTGGACATTACAACCTCAAATGTCAATGGATTTCATTTTATGTGACAATCCAAAACAAAATGGAACCAATTTATTATTTTTTTAGCAAATAATTTGTGTTCAGCTTCTTAATTAAAATACAGTGAAGATCATAAAGCAGGAGAGGAGATGCAAGGTTAGAAAATAAAACAATATCCCAAGCTTTGAAAACCTGTCTTCAGTACAGCGTAGTATGGAGTCCCAAATACTCTCGTTTCTGTCTCCGTATTGTTTGCAGAAAATTTGCATAGAGTTGAAAAAACTGGTATAAAATTCCAGTTCTCAAGGGCTGGTGCCCTGCAACTGTGTCCCAGTCGTCCTGCATCTGGAGCCGTTGCTGGTCAGCTTGGCATTCACATAACTCAAACTGCGCCAGAGTTCGTTCAACCAAACCGAGACCAAGTTTGCTTTTTGGTCCGCATCAGAGTTTGGTTGCATATTCACACCAAACCCCAATCAAACCCGACTGTCTGGGAAAACGAACCAGAGTTCAGTTAAAGCGGACTAAGCAGTGCTGGTGTGAATTCACCCTCAATGTCCAGATTTTAATTTTCTAATCATCTCTCAAAACAAACTGCTGCTCAGCATCTTCATTTAGGTGAAGCACATTTAAGAACAAAGGGGACCAAACAGTTTGTGACACGAAGATGGTAGAACAGCCTTCCTTTGTGGACTTGTGTTTCAGAAAGCAGCAATAAACTTCTTAAAGCAGGCTTTCTGTTTACTTTCATTGTCTTTTTTGCTGTTATTTTATCTTTCTTTTATCTGCACTTAGTTTTAATAGTCATTTTATTGGTTTTCCGCATAGTGTTTTCTGATGATTGTGTCTGTAAAAGGCACTTAAATAAACTTTACTTCAGAACTGCCTCTTTCCTGCAGTATGGACTCAACGGTGTCAATGCTGCTGGGCAGCTCAGTCGTTGGAGCATCGTGAGGCTGGAGTTCTTCACGCGTTCGTCCTGGGTTACGTTCCCAGTTTCGGGGTTCAATACAGAGAATAAAAAATTTAAAAAAAAAACACACACATTTAAACCATGTCAAAAACATTCCCCTGAAATGTAAACAGTTAAATAATCTGACCAACAATGGTGAAAATGACTTCGAGTTACATTAGATTGAGCAAAATCTTCTTTGAACTCTGTGGACTGTGCTAATGAGATTGTCCAAAATGACTGTAAAGTCATGATATAATGTTTAAAACATTTATTGACATGCAAGTGCACTTTAAAGTCATAAATAATTCTCTCTTTCTCTGCTAAGTTAAGCTTGTATTTTTCATTGCCGGTTTAATACCTTAAGTAATCCACTGTTCCAGACAGTAATATTCCCTATCTGGCATATTATGTGCTCCCTGTGCCAAGGTAAACAAAGGGGTCTAAAAAAAAATGTGAGCCTAGTTTTCCTAATGGCTATCTGTTGTAGACGTGGCACAAAACTTTGACTTGTGTCTGAGAGCTGTGTCAGTGAAGTGTGCAGCAGAGTGGTGAAGAGTTGGTGCACAGAGCAGGAGCTGCACACCAAACAGCCTCCCAGAGAAAGAGTCCCTGGGCAGGCAGCGTCAGTGTGACCCACTGCTGACGATTCTTTCCAGGCCCAGAGCGACCTGATGGAACCTGGAGCAAGAAGCCCAGCCTGCTTCTGGGAAAGTAAACAGGATCCGACCCAAAATGGAGGTACTCTGGGCGGCGGATGACTCAGTTGGGAGAGCAGACGCACCATGTCCAGAGGCTATAGTCTTCCACGTTCTGGGTTCAGTTCCTGGTCTCGGGTCATTTGCTGCATGTCTTCCTCTGCTCTCTCTCTATCCTATCAAATTACTGCCCAATAAAGGCCACAAGGGCCTAAAGATCTTTAAAAAGAAAAAATGGAGGTACTCTCTATCCTGTCATGATAAGGCTGGTTTCTGACACCTGATCTGCTGACCTTCCTTTGTTGGGATAGTGATTATGAATTCTTCCAAACTTTCCCTTTAGACACCAGTCAGGTATTTATAAATCTTAATTGTGCATGCAAACCAGAAGTTCTGCCTCCCAGAGAGATGTTTGATAAATTA